GAGAGAGAGAGAGAGAGACGGTGGGCGGGATGCACTTGTGAAGACACAAGGAATGAATAAAACACGTCACATTTCAACGACACAATTCAAAAATTCATGAGCATGTAATGGACAACTTGAGAGTGAACAGAATTGCTGACAAAGCTGCTGGAGACATTGCAAGGGAGCGCTTTCTCCGAATCATTATAATTTCGTACCCGTTGGATTTTCGGATGGCCTGGCTTAATTTGGCTACATTTTGTTCAAATTATTAGAGTGCGAAATTTTAGGGACAACCTGCCTTGCCTTTCTGTCCAGGCACCCCAAACGATCAAAATTCAATGGGCACGTCCTACCTGGGGGTGGGGGAGGGGGGATTAAGTTTAGAGGTGTGGTGTGATTCCGATGTCATATTTGTTTTAACTCATACCGAGTCAGCTCAATGCAAGTTAAGGCAGTCTTGCTTAGTGTAGATATTTCACGTCGCAGTTGACACAAAGTGAATTCATGTAAATCAAAGTTCGCTTTTTGGTCTGTGTAAGCGCACCAAGGACCTTCTATTATCTATTTGTGGTGGCCGAATTTTGCTATTCAAAAGGCTTTTTAATGGCTGCATCGATCGACATGCGGTTTTCGCCAAAAGATTCTTTAAAATATTATTCTCCTGATCATGGCGCCCTGTTTTTTTTTCAGTTTTGAGACAGTTTTGTTGCAAAAAGCTAAATTTCTTTATTTCGCCGATCGCTTTTGTAGGCCAACGCTTCGGTCTCTGTAATTTTAGAACATCCGCTGCGGAAGTGATATTTTGCGAGGCGCATTTTGTTTTGAGAGTATGATCTAGATCTAGACCTAATTTTTTGCATCTCTCAAAATTTATTGCTCCTTCCCAGTAGAGTGAAAATATAGTAGGCCAATGACTCTCGGTCTCAGTGGATGTTAATGCACCGATCATTCCTTTCATCGAAAGGGGACCCAGCTAGTACTGTATAACCTCCCTGAAGCGCACACACAGAAAGATGAGGCAGATGGCGCGGTCCAGCTAAAGGGGAGAAAAATGCATGCACATTGGCCATAAGGCCAACTGAAATATTTATGAGATGCTGCCCGCACTCATGGGAGAAGAAGGTGTGGAAAAGGAGGGTGTATGTGTGTGAGTGTGTGTGTT